CAAATTTGCTTTGAACTTGAAAGAGAGAAAGAATCGGATTTGACATGTCAGAGCACATTGCAAATGCTTTTTAAAAAAATAACATTTGTTTAACAAATATTTTAGCACATCGAAAGTAATTAAATTACCTGTCTTTTGATTATAACCTTTATGCAAAAAGATCAGAAAAAAAGGCAATTATGCGACACATGACTTGCATCGCTCTCATGCCACGTTTTGAGGATAATTTCGCATCTAGGTGCTGCTTTGAATAGAATAAAACTATTAAAAAGCACATTAAAGACTACTCATAAAATAAAACATTCATAAAGGAGTATCTTATGAAAAAACACCAATTGACCGGCTCTACTTTCGATTTTAAAAGAATCAAGCAGCTTTAAAACAATATAATTTGCTGAAGAGAAATGACAGGGAAAAAAAGATTAAACACATCGGGACTGTTAAAAGAACATTCCTCTTTGATATATTCTTTCGACTCGGATACATCAGCTAAGATTATGAATGACGGAGTGTCTCTCCTGCTTCAGCAGCGTGTCCAGCTGGTTATGAACGAGGAGGCGGAGAGAATGCGCTGTTTAGTTTCGGCTTGATATATTTATATAAAAACTAACACCGAACTGCTTATAACGCTCAAAAAGTTAAACTAAAATGCACAACTCTTGTTGGTTGCACCTGCGGGATGCACAATGAACCTAACGCGCCATTATATTAATTCTATATTCGTGAAGAATGAGCCAACCGCAGATGCTTAGTCCTGTTGGTCGGGGCACTCTGCTTTATAACTTAGTTTATTGCAATAATCACACTTAGATTTGCCATCGTTCTTCACATGTAGCCACTCAGCACATCTTGCGCTCCATCTTTAATGTTTAGATTATTGAAGGTGCTATTGACGTTTTGAGAAAAAAATGAACAGTACTGAAACTAAAATATTAAAACTAAACTTGGGGGACTTAATTTATGTCCTGCGACAACTTTATTTTTATTATACTTTAGGTGATCTGCTTTATTTATTTATTTATTTATTTAAGACTACTTTTTTACTGAATGTTTGTGTTTTCATTTTTTTAGTTGTCTTTTATTTCTTCAATTCTATTTTCCAAAACGAATCCTCTTTGCACTTAAAAAGTTAACAATAAACCAGGTAAACAAATTTTAAATGTAAGTTGAGGTGATCGCAAGTTCACAACTGTGAAGTGATGTGCTCTACCGGCAGGATAATCTATATTATTTTGCTGTTTTTCATATGCGCACATTTAAGATTTGAGGTAATAACATTGCCATGATAGTCAAAGAAATAAAACATTATTTTCACCCCAACGCAATTTAATCGGGCACTAAAGGCTAATAACTTAATTCTTATATTTGCTTTTTGAAGCCTATGACTTCTCACCATCGATCTTTTCGACAGCATACAGTATAGTGTAAGAGCATGTCTATTACCAGAAAAACTAAATTAAAATGATATTTTAATCGAACACATCACATCACATACAGTAAGCTACGCCCACAGAACAGCCTGTTTAGCATTGTGAAAAGGCAAAGCTGAATATCTGTGGTTTAAGTGCCACCCAGCGGTCAAATGCTGCTGGCGCATCAATTACCGCCGTCGCCGCGGTATGAATGGCGGCAAAAGGAACACATTGAAGTAGTAACATCTGCATATATTTATGAACCTGCAAAATGCAAATGATCAGAGCCAGTCAAACCTGCTCCAATAAACCAATTCACAGATAAACTATAAATATAATCATTAAAATATAAAATATAAATAAAGAGGTAATTAAATAAAATAATCATTAAAATACACTAATTTCCTGAACTGTTAAAGAAAAGACCAACTTTCATTTGAAAAGCAGCATTTTGTAGTTTCTCCACTAATGCTCTTAAATATATCTGGACATTTCCATCTCAATCAAAACACTTTTAATGTTGTTGAGTGGAGAATCATTTACCTCAGCGTCTCCAGTTTACAGTGTTGACTCTTCAGTCCATCAGAGAGAAGCTTCACTCCTGAATCCTGCAGGTCATTGTTACTCAGGTCCAGCTCTCTCAGCACACAGTTTGAGGATTGTAGAGCTGAAGACAAACTCTCACAGCACTCAACAGTGAGTTTACAGCTCTGTAGTCTATGTAGAGGACAGTAAAAGACACTGTAATATTGTGTGTGAGTGTGATGTAATTATTGAAGTGCCTATTATGAGTGATTTCTCCTCATAGGGAAAAGGAAAAGACTCCTTTAACTATTCAGAGTTGCTTTGATGGTCACATGGAGGAAGATCAAACATTTGTATTTCATTATTACATAAACTTTTTAAAGAGAAGATCTCTGGACCAAAATGAGTCGGCCAGACAGATTTATTCTGAGGGGAAATTTGTAAAAAAAAATATGCAGATTTATGCAGAATGATATAAAAAAGTAACAATCATAACAAAAAAAATGTATTATATAAAATAAAATAAAACTTTTTAACTGTTATTATTTAATGTTTACAAAGCAAATCCATTCAGATCCTCATATTTGTTAAAGAAAGCAAGTCTTTTATATAATATTAACAGACAGAAAATACGACTTTACAAACTGTATTATAAATAAATCACATCTCCATCTACATATTAGTCAATAATATTCCTGAAATTAATACAAAACTGACTGAATATAACTTTACACACATTAACATCAGTAAATAAAGAGACTCAGTGATGGGCTGAACATCTGCAGAAACACAGCTCATTTAGAGACGCCCCAAAAACACCACAGAACACCAATCAATGATCATTTCAGCAGAAATTACACTAAAGAGCAATATTATATCTGATATAAAAAGGGTTTCTCATATTTGACTTCACATTAAATATGAAATATTCACAATAAATAAACAGAAATAAAATACATCACAGCATATGCTCATTACCTCATCAGACTTTACTGCATTTCACAATGGAAAAGTCATTTGTGGCAGCATTTATTTGATGGAAATGTTTTTATTTTACCTCAGTGTCTCCAGTTTACAGTGTTGACTCTTCAGTCCATCAGAGAGCTTCTTCACTCCTGAATCCTGCAGGTCATTGTTACTCAGGTCCAGCTCTCTCAGCACACAGTTTGAGGATTGTAGAGCTGAAGACAAACTCTCACAGCACTGAACAGTGAGATTACACCACTGTAGTCTGTGTAGAGGACAAAGAGCAACAAAATCAGCAGTGAGAAATGAGCAGTGTTGTGTTCATGAGTCCAGTCTACAGTCATAAAAGCAACACTGAAAATAAACTATATATATATACTGCTCAAACAATAAAGGGAACACTAAAATAACACATCCTAGATCTGAATGAATGAAATATTCTTATTAAATACTTTGCTCTTTACACAGTTGAATGTGCTGACAACTAAATCACACAGACATGATCACTAGAAATCAAATGTATTAACCCATGGAGGACTGGATTTGGAGTCACACTCAAAACTGTAGTGAATTGCAGGAATTGCTGACACACTCCAGACACATGAGGTCCAGCATTGTCTTGCATTAGGAGGAAATCAGGCCCAACCACATCAGCATTTGGTCTCACAAGGGGTCTGAGGATCTCATCTCAGTACCTAATGGCAGTCAGGCTACCTCATGGTGTTGTACCATGGTGTTGTGCTGCAACCCCCACCTGTGGACATTGGGCCCTCATACCACCCTCATAAAAAGAAAATATCTTCTTTTTATTTATTTATTGAATCTAAATTAAACTAAACTAAAGCTGTATTTCCCCATTCATATGACTGTACTGAATTATTGAACAGATTATTAATAACTAATCAGAGAGCATTTTACTGAGCTCAGTATAAAGTTTAGTGTTTAGGCCTACAGCAGGGGTGTCCAAACTTTTTTGGCCGAGGGCCAGATGCAAAAAAACAAACGTTGTCGCGGGCCAAATTTTACATACATCACACAGACACGCATATATATATATATATATATATATATATATATATATATATATATATATATATATATATATATATATATAAATACAGTTGAAGTCAGAATTGTTAGCCCCCACTCAATTATTAGCCCCCGTTTATTTTTTCCCCAATTTCTGTTTAACGGAGAGAAGATTTTTTTCCACACATTTCTAAACATATTAGTTTTAGTAACTCATTTCTAATAACTGATTTATTTATTATTATTACTGATTTACTGATTTATTTTATTATTTAAAAAAGAAGAAATAAATCAAAGAGGGGCTAATAATTCAGACTTCAACTGTGTGTAGACAGACAGACAGACAGACAGATAGATAGATAGATAGATAGATAGATAGATAGATCATAACAAGAACTGCTGCTTACTTGAATGCATGTAATAGCGACTCCCGGTGGTTATTTATTGAATTACGTTCATTTTTGTATAGCGGGCCAGTTTCTATTGATATTTATAAAAAGCCTCGCGGGCCGCCACAAAACTGATTGCGGGCCGCAGATGGCCCGCGGGCCGTAGTTTGGACACGCCTGGCCTACAGTAAATGTAATATTAGAGGCATGTCTGCGGCGAGACGGCAATACTGTGTCTAAAATTACACTATTTCTCTGATCAGAAAACAAACACAATTATCCAAGAGCAACACTGTGTTAGATTTAAGCAAATACACATCAACAAATGTCCTATTCAGCTGGAGGAGCACAGGGATTTACAGGGATTTGAGTTATTTTCCAGGATAAACTGTAAAGCAAATAAAGTAGATCATTAAATAAGTACAAATGTTGTTTGTGTGAGTAAAAAGTCAAGAAAAGTTTGTTAAATACGTTTAGAAATGCTGAAATAAATGAGCAAATAAGGAAACAGAACACTGCCGCTGCGTCCCCATGCAGTAATATGGTGTATCAGCGATCTCACAGGGGGACGATATGGCCAGCTAAAGATTTTCTGTTAAAGCAGGGCAGTGATTCACTAAACTGATCTGAGTCTTCAGTGCAGACTGATGTGTGTCTTCTGTGATCAATCAATGAATACTCACAGAGCTCTTCTGCAGTTTCTCACAGCTGTTGTCAGTCTCAGTCTTCCCTCAGCTGATGTGTTGAATTTCTGCAGCTCAAACTCATCCAGCGGCTCCTCTGACATCTCAATCATGTAGGAGATTGTTGAGCAGTGAGCAGGAGAGAGTTCCTCCTCTGAGTGTTTGTCTGATTTCACAAACTCCTGAATCTCTCTGGCCAGAGTCTGATCTTTCACCTCCAGCAGACAGAGGAACAGATTGATGAATCTTTCAGCTGCTCTCTTGAAATAGTCATCGCTCTTGATCTGGTCTTTAATGTACTGTGTGATTCTCCTGATGCTCTCTGAGCTCTCCTCTGTGTGTGTCAGCAGATCCTGGAAGAGTCTCTGATTGGACTCCAGTGAGACGCCCAGCAGGAACCGCAGGAACAGATCCAGATGACCATTACTACTCCTGACAGCTTCATCTACTGCTGAACTGAGCAGATCATACAGAGACTTCTCAGAGCTGGACTGTAGATATTGATCATATGAATATCCTAAAATCAACTCCAGCAGTTCTCTCTTCTTTGTTAAATGGCAGTAAAACACAAAGAAAGCAGCCAGAAACTCCTGAAAGCTGAGATGGATGAAGCTGTAGACTTTCCTCTGCTGAATCACAGATTCCTCCTTGAAGATCTCAGTGCAGATCCCAGAATACACCAAGGCGTCAGTGACGTCTATGCCGCTCTCAATCAGGTCCTCCTCATAGAACATCACATTGCCCTTCATCAGCTGTCTGAAAGCCACTTCAGCAAGTTTGAGGATCACTCCTCTGTTGGACTGCAGGAGTTTCTCTGGATCTCTCTCTTCATACTTCTGCTTCCTCATGTTGATCTGAATCAGCAGGAAGTGGATGTACATCTCAGTCAGAGTTTGAGGGATTTCTGCACTCACATCTTCTTCCAGGAGCTTCTGAAGCACAGTGGAGGAGATCCAGCAGAAGACGGGTATGTGGCACATGATCTGGAGGCTTCTTGCTCTTCTTATGTGAGAGATGATTCTGCTGGCTTGATGCTCATCACTGATTCTCTTCCTGAAATATTCCTCCTTCTGAGGCTCAGTGAATCCCTGAATTTCTGTCAGACGCTTGATGTATCTGGAGGGGATCTGATGGGCTGCAGCTGGTCTGGAGGTGATCCAGATGAGAGCAGAGGGAAGCAGATCTCCTTTCAGGAGACTCCACATCAACACAGCCACTGATGAAGATTCAGTCACAGCACAAACTTTCTCCTCATCTGAAAAGTTGAGTGTGATTCTGCTTTCATCCAGACCATCAAAGATGAACACAACTCTACACTGCTCATAAATCTTGGGCTCCAGATCTTCAAGTTCAGGATGAAAGTCCAGCAGAAGTCTGTGAAGACTGTACTGATGATCTCGGATCAAGTTCAGTTCTCGAAATGGAAGCACAAACATGAAATCTACATCCTGATTGGCTTTTCCCTCGGCCCAGTCCAGAATGAACTTCTGCACAGAGACGGTTTTCCCGATTCCAGCGATGCCTTTAGTGAGAACAGTCTTGATCTGGGCTTTCTCCTTTTTGATCTTCACCTCATGTCCTGCTCCAGCTGAGGCTTTAAAGATGTCATTGCAGTAGACTGGAGTGTGTTGTGAGGGTTTTGTTCTGGCTCTTTTCTCCATCTGTATAACCTCATGTTCTTCATTCACTCCTTCACTCTCTCCTTCTATGATGTAGAGCTGTGTGTAGATCCTGTTCAGGAGGGTTTGAGTCTCTCCATGGTTGATTCCCTCAAATAATCTCTCATGCTTGTTCTTCATGGTGGTTTTGTGCTGCTCTTTGACTCTCTGAAGTTCATCATGTTCTGGTTGGAGTGAATCCTGCAGCAGGTCTCCAGACTGATCATCTCTATCCACACTGCAGGAACAACAACAACAACACAAAAGAACCAATGAGTGTGAGTGTAAAGATCCTCTAATGAAGCCATGTGTGATTTCTCTGAACAAGCCGAGACACAATACACAGATTTAATCAGATTTAATTTAAACACCACACACTGATCACATCTACTGCTCAAAAGGCTGTAAACATTTAATAGTACTTGTCATTTATTAAATGTAACACTTTAATCATTTGATATCCTTTATTCACAATGATGCTCACTGAAGACATTTAAAATCTTTTAGGATGAAAATGTGAGAGAGCACAAGTGTAACACTGCCGGTCCTACACCACCCAACCCGCTCCGAGCTGGGATCCAACCGGCCACCTTCCGCATGGGAGTCAATTGCTCTACCAAGAAGGCTAAAGACTATGGCCTCTAGCGTCTGTCACTAGAGCACATTTAGTGCTGTCAGAAGAGTGAGGTTTACCTGCACAGCACTTACTAGCTGGCCTCTGTTAAAATAAAGAGTGGTGTGGTGTGTTTGTCTCACAGAACTTGTTCATTCATCTCGTCTAAAATCTTTCTCTTGATTATCCACACTTTGCTGACTATTGTAAAAGCCTGTTAACTCACTCTACTAACTCTAACAGTTTGAGTATTAATAGTTTATTAGTACTTCACTAATGATCAGATGTGAGTGTGTGGACATTCAGATTTAAAGTCTCCTGTAAATGTAACACTTGTTTTTCTGATCTTCTAGAAACACAGAATCATATAAATGCTGTCGTGTGATCGTGTGTGTAGAGATGATCTACCTGACAGCAGGTTGTGTGTTTTTACTCTTAAATTTTAATGGTGGATCCATAGATGCGTCACTCTTCATAGACACACAGCTGGGCTCTGCTTCTGCTCTCTTCCTCTTACGTGAGCTAAAACAGAGAAGATTAAAGTTGAGCGCTGCACACACTGCACAAACCTAATATTATTCATTCTTCATTTACAAAAATACTTAAATTAATTTCCTTTATATTTGAACAGAAACTGTCTGAATGTGGGAAATATCAGCAAACACAGATCAAGGCTCATTTCTAGTAGAGAAAGTCCAGCAGCAATGCAGCACTATTAGAGCAGATTAGAGCTGAAGCTAATCATCAAATCACTAAATGAAGTCCACAGTGTAGGTGTGGGAGGAGCTTAATCATACAGGCGTGTCAATCATCATCACATGACTATATAAGCAGCAGTATAAACTGCACTGTGTCAGCTGACTGTTATTCCAGCCCCCAGCAGCTTTCCTTATCTTCCTCCTCATCACTCAGTCTTCAGAAGGTCACTCATTGGGGGTTTGTCTGCAGAGCTCCAGTCCAGACTTTGAGGACAGCAAGACAAGTTCATTTACCATCTATCATGACTGAATGAGCAGGAGAACTCGAGAAATATCAATTCTAGAAACCAAATGTGTTGATCAGCAGCATCTATGAGGCCAACACAACATGATGATGACTGCACTTCAGTGAAAACAGACCCAGGGGGACTTCCGGTTATGGCGCGCACTGGTTAGTCACGCTAATTTGAGCTGATGCCAACTTCTCTTAAATTCAAACCTTAAAAGAAGACCAAATCGAACCCGAACGTGATATGCAATAAAGGAAACACTCCTGCAAGGAACTATGCCGCCAAAAAATCTAAAGTCGGGACAACAGCCGAAATTTCAGCCGCAAACTGGCTCTGACAACATGGAACAAGCAAGCAAGCTAGCGGCTAATGAACAAAGTGACGCTGACAGGAAAGACTCCACAAACTCAATTATTTCAGCCATACAAGCACTAAGTGATGATATGACTAAACATTCCACCGACATGCTTGAAGCTATTAATGGGTTGAAAACAGAATTGGTGTCACATTCCAAAAGAATCGGCGAAGCAGAGGACAGGATATCACAAACTGAGGAAGATGTTGCGACCCTTCACCAAAAGACAAAAAAACTGGAACAAACAGTCGAGACTTTAACTTACAAAATCCAAGATCTAGAAGATCGTGGACGTCGTTCAAATTTAAGAATGATCGGACTAACCGAAAAGGCAGAAGGGACGGACACATGCGCTTTTCTGGAGGATTGGCTCCCCAAAATACTGACAGATTGCTTCACTACAGCTCCTACAATCGAGCGAGCACACCGAGTCGGACCAATAAATACGAATCGTCCCAGGCCAATAGTGATGAAGTTCTTGAATTATAAGGATCGCGAAAAAACACTTCGGGCGGCCAGGAAAGTAAAAGAACTCCGCTACGAAGGTCAGCAAATTAGCCTGTTCCCGGATTTATCTGCCAAGACCCGTCAACGCCAGCGATGCTTCGATGGAGTAAAAGCCCAGCTGAAATCCATGGACATCAGATACGGAATGCTCTATTCTGCTCACTTGATAGTGACCCACGCAGACAAGCAACGTATTTTCAAGACTGTCTCAGAAGTGGAGGAATTTATCCGCGGACTGGAAAGATCCACATAAACGAAAACAGACTCAGATCAGAGGAATGGCTGATCAGTACAGCACAGAAACAGCAGGGGAAAGTGTGCAGGAAAAGCCCTTTATGGCAGGAGATCGGGAACACTTTAGTTTAGCTCACAATTCATACTATTAACTACCGGCTTATTATCTGTGTAATGTGAACATATGAACTGCTTATTAGTAGTCATATAGTATGATCTTATTGTGTATCCCCAACCCTACCCAAAACCTAAACCCACCTTCTACCTCACTAACTATTAATAAATCACTGATTGGCTTGTTAACACCATCAATTGTGGCCTGAAGTGTAAAGTGGAGATCTTCAAGCACTATCCTGCAGAGCTTAGATACAACATCTAACATCTGAAACCCAACAGATCTACAGAACTAATTACCTGATTCATTTATTATGAAAATACTCATCAGTTGCAGATATTAAAGAGATGATCTACCTGACAGCAGGTCCTGTGTTTCCACTCTTAAAATTTGTTGGTGGATCCATAGACACGTCACTCTTCATAGACACACAGCTGGGCTCTGCTTCTGCTCTGTTCTGATGAACTGAACTAAAACAGAGAAGATTAAAGTTCAGCGCTGAACACACTGGAGTCAACACAGCAGATTTACTCAACATTTCATCATTAAAACACTTTTTTAACAGCACTTCATGATACTTTTCATGATGATTGTACAAAATCTTTCTGGCTGTGTGTGTTAAATATTCTGACAGATTAAAAACACAACTAACAGAGAGTAAATATAATATCCAGTAGAAAATAATCATATGAAATGTCAAGTGTAGGTCTAATACCTGCATCCTGTAGACAAATCCAGATCTCCAGGTGTGTGTTTGTCCTCCATGATGGACCTGAAGAGTTTGATCTCCAGCAGAAACTCTATAAGAAACTGATGAACAATCACAAATCTCCAGTCATTGATCAGCCTTCATAATTCAGCTGAATGCAGGAATAGATCAGCAGCTGAGACACTTAAATCCAGAAGCTCATCACGAGTAAACTAATTGTTGTGATATCCACTCATGAACGTTCCTCGTTTGACCACCAGAGGGAGCCATCGCCTGAGTTCTAATCTCCCCAATGCTCGACTGGGACTGATTACATACAGCTGAAACCCATTTCAGACTCTCTATATAAACGCACACATCCTTAACTTGGTGCGAAGTTTTGATTAGCCCTGGCCATCATCTCTGAGCGTTATCTTGTTGTTTATTGCCTATCTGTGTATCGACCTGGACTGTCTTATCGTTTCTGAAGCTATCTGCCTGCCATGACCACTGAGTAGTTATATTGATTCCTTTTGTCAGCCGCCTGCCTCAAATCTCTGCCTGTCTCGTTTACGATTACTCTCTCCTTATCCCGACCCTCGCCTGCTCTTCGACTATCCTACTGAAAATTTCCTATTCTATCTGATGTTTGTGAGTTCCCACCTGTGATATCTTACTGTTATTAAAGTGTGCAAATGGATCCAGAAATGTCTGATGAATCATTACAGAAAACTTCGCCACAAGGGGATCAGCAACTCTACTACAGTTATCGTCTGAATTATCCACTCAGGGAGCCCAGTTAGCCCTTCATCGACAACAACTGGTACGACTGACCACTTTAACCGAGGAGCTTGTTCAAGCTGTACAGCGGCTACATGTTGCACCTGTTAACCCCTCGACCGCTCCTTCTCCCCCTCCTCCGTTGCCTCTCAGTATGCCCCTCGATCCCCTGCCACAGTCTGCAGTAAATCCCAGATTGGCTTTCCCCGATAAATTTGATGGCAATCCCTCCAAATGTAAGGGATTTTTACTGCAATGTTCATTATTTGTTGATCAACAACCGTTTCTTTACCCCACTGATTCCAGCCGAATCGCCTTTGTATGCGCTCTGCTTTCTGGAAAAGCCCTGGAATGGGCTTCAGCTATATGGAAGCTGGAGGGTAACACTTTTATATCCTTTAAGGATTTCCTGACACAATTTTGAGCAGTGTTCGAACACCCCGCCGATGGGAAGAGCCCCGGAGAGCAGCTGTTGACACTTGTTCAGGGAAGGCGAACAGCAGCTGAGTATGCACTCGCCTTTCGTACGCTGGCAGCTCAAACAAACTGGGGTGAGGACCCTCTTAAGCTGTTTTTTCGTAAGGGATTATCTGCTGAATTACAGTCAGAACTGGCTTGTCGCGAAGAGGGTAAAACTCTTAGTGAATTGATTGAAATCACAATCCGACTGGATAATCTTATCAGAGCACGCCGAGTACCGCAGCTGCGACGCCTCCCTGATCTCGATCCGACACAAAATGAACCCATGCAACTCGGCAACACTCAATTAACTCCGGAGGAGCGTGAACGCAGATTGCAGAACCATCTCTGTCTATATTGCGGAGAATCTGGGCATCGACGCATTAATTGCACGGTCCGTCCAGCTCGATCGGTGAGTCTACCATCTTCTAACATATCAAGTTTAACTATTCGAATAAGCATGTCTCAGGCGGATTGGGGTATTGATTGTACAGCCCTAATTGATTCAGGTGCCGCTGGTAATTTTATGTCATGGGAATTTGCTAGACGTCATAAGTTAACGTTGCTACCATGTGAATCTGTGCTTGCAGTGGAAGCGCTAGACGGACGTCCTATTGGAAATGGAAGGATCCAGCATGTCACTACATCCATTAATTTACAAATCGGGGCGCTGCATAAGGAAAGGATCAATTTCTATATAATTCAACCATCTAGACATCCTGTAATTCTCGGTTTACCCTGGCTGCGCCGGCACGACCCTCACATTTCCTGGCAGAAGGGGCAGATACTCCAGTGGGGCTCAACTTGTTTACATCAATGCCTTGATGAGATCACTAAGCTTCCTGTCCAGACAATAAGTATACAGTCCCTACAAGATCAAGAGTTTGCCACATTACCAACAGTATATTCTGATTTGACCGAGGTGTTCAGCCAGCAAAGCGCCACTCACTTACCACCTCACTGCCCCTATGACTGTGCAATTGAGCTGCTGCCAGGCATGATACATCCCAAGGGAAGAATATTTCCACTGTCTCAGCCCGAGTCAGAAGCCATGAACTCCTACATCCAGGAGGAACTAGGAAAAGGATTCATTCGCCCATCTACTTCACCGGCGGCGGCCGGCTTCTTTTTCGTTAAGAAAAAAGATGGTAATCTGCGTCCATGCATTGATTATCGTGGTCTCAATGAGATCACAGTCAAATATCGATATCCTCTTCCTCTGGTACCAGCAGCCCTACTACGTCAGGCTAAAATCTATACCAAACTCGACTTGCGGAGTGCCTATAATCTAATACGGATAAAGCAGGGAGACGAGTGGAAAACCGGGTTTTCCACCACCAGGGGGGACTATGAATACACCGTGATGCCCTTCGGGTTGGCCAACAGTCCATCCGTCTTTCAGGCATTTATGAATGATGTCTTTCGTGACATGCTAGATCAGTGGGTAATCATCTATATAGACGACATTCTGATCTACTCTAATACTGTGGAGGAACACATCCAACATGTAAGAGCAGTGTTACAGAGGCTTATTCACCATCACCTTTATGCAAAATTCGAAAAATGTGAGTTCCATCTGACAAGTGTGTCTTTCCTGGGCTACATTATCAGCGCGGAAGGAGTTACCATGGATGAGAGAAAGGTAACCGCAGTACAGGAGTGGCCACTCCCCCAGACTTTAAAACAGCTACAACGCTTCCTAGGCTTCGCAAACTTCTATAGAAGATTTATTAGAAACTTCAGTACCCTAGCAGCTCCCCTCACCTCCATGACTAAACGCAGTCACGCTAAGTTAATCTGGCAACCCGAAGCTATACAGGCCTTCTCAGTGCTAAAGGAGAAATTCACCTCCGCGCCAGTATTACGTCATCCTAATCCCGTACTACCTTTTGTGGTGGAAGTAGACGCCTCCAACACAGGAGTAGGGGCGGTACTCTCTCAGCGCCAGGGCATCCCCGAGAAGATGTATCCATGCGCCTTCTTCTCACGCAAGTTGAACAGTGCAGAACGTAACTATTACGTCGGTAACAGGGAACTCCTAGCTATCAAGCTTGCACTGGAGGAATGGCGACATTGGTTAGAGGGAGCGATCTTTCCATTTACCGTACTAACCGACCACAAAAATCTTGAGTACTTGCGCACTGCCAAGCGCCTCAATCCCCGACAGGCTCGTTGGGCTTTGTTCTTTACTCGTTTCAACTTTACTGTAACTTATTGTCCGGGCAGCAAGAACACCAAGGCGGACGCACTTTCACGAATGGAGGAGAGGGGTAACGAGTTCGAGCAGGCTGATGCCATTATACCCGATCATTTACTACTGGCTCCCGTTCAATGGTACTTAATCACGGAGATTACTCAGTTTAATCACGACAATCCCCCACCTGCAGACTGTCCTGCTGGTTTGACATTTGTACCATCGGAGTTTCGACAGGAGGTGTTGAAGCAAGTGCACGACAACCCCAGCGCTGGTCATCCAGGTATAACAGCCACAAAGAATCTAGTTTCCAATCGTTTCTGGTGGCCAGCGTTATGGAAGGATGTCATGGGCTACGTGAAGAACTGCATCACTTGCCAGACCACAAAATCTTTACATCAAGTACCAGCCGGATTATTACAACCACTCCCAGTTCCTGAACGTCCCTGGTCCCATATCGCTCTAGATTTCATAACCGATCTTCCGGTATCTCAGGGCAACACGGTGGTGCTCACTGTCATTGATCGGTTTTCTAAGGCATGTCATCTCATTCCTCTGCCTAAACTGCCCACCGCGCTAGAGACAGCGGAGACAATTTGTAACTGGGTTTTTCGCTTTTATGGACTCCCTGATGATATCGTCTCTGATCGGGGACCCCAATTTACGTCACGATTATGGGCTGCTTTTTGTAAAAACCTAAATATCAACGTCAACCTCACCTCTGGATATCACCCTAAGTCAAATGGACAGACCGAGCGACTAAATCAGGAAATTTCCCGCTTACTTCGATCTTATTGTCATCAGCATCCGTCAGATTGGAATCGCTATCTCCTGTGGACCGAGTACGCACAAAATTCCCTTGTCAAACCCTCTAACGGAATAACCACATTCAAATGCATTCTCGGATATCAACCGCCCCTATTTCCATGGTCCGGAGAACCCACAACATTGCCTGCAGTTGATGATTGGTTCCGAAGAAGCGAGGAAATCTGGAATAGAACTCACACACACCTATTAAGAGCGGTGAGAAGACAGGAGGTGCAAGCCAACCGGCATCGGCGAACAGGTCATCGATACAGTCCAGGACAGTGGGTGTGGTTATCGACCAGAGATCTATTCAACCAAAATTCCTGTAGAAAGCTTAATCCCAGGTATGTTGGTCCTTTTAAAATTATCCGCCAAGTTACCACAGTATCATTTTGTCTTGAACTCCCTAACCATTATCGCATTTCTCCCACATTTCATGTTTCCTTGCTGAAACCCGCTGGTGGTCCACGAGAGGAAATACCACTACACGACGAGCGGGCGCTCCCCATCACCATAGAGGGCGAGGTGGCTTATCGAGTTCGAGAATTACTTGATTCGAGGCGTCGGGGTGGCGCCCTCCAATATCTGGTGGACTGGGAGGGTTACAGTTCAGAGAAACGAAGTTGGGTCAACGCGAGGGACATCCTCGATCCCACGCTCACCCTAGAATTTCATCAGAGACATCCGGACAAGCCGGCCCCCTGACCGCATGGAAGACCTCGACGCCGACAAATTACTCGCCTCCGGAGCTGCTCGCAGGGAAAGGGTTCTGTTGTGATATCCACTCATGAACGTTCCTCGTTTGACCACCAGAGGGAGCCATCGCCTGAGTTCTAATCTCCCCAATGCTCGACTGGGACTGATTACATACAGCTGAAACCCATCTCAGACTCTCTATATAAACGCACACATCCTTCACTCTGTGCGAAGTTTTAATTAGCCCCGGCCATCATCTATGAG